CAGCCACTGCAACATCAGGAAACCACTGTGCAGGTCAAAATTTGGCTCTCCGGGGACCAAATTCCGACCATGCACAATAAATAAGTCTAGATGGATAATTATTTTAGGGGTGTCTATTTGGGTATATATATATATATATATATATATATTTATATGAGATAAAATAGAATATTTTTAATCATACGAATTAAAAGATAAAATTCATAAAACAATAAAAAAATAATTATATAAACCTAATTTTTGTATTGTCAATGTATAAAACTTAAGTTCTTAACTAAAAGTTATATACTGATGTGTTTTAATTTTAGCATAGTGATTTTATTACGTATATTTAAATTCTAAAAGATAGATTTCTCGAATACTACTATTAATTATTGAATGAATCAACTGAATCCACTGTGCACGTGCTTGGAAATATGCTCGTGATGTACAAAACCAGGTCAACAGCGAAGTTACGATATATTTCTTTTGCCAACGTCTACGCGCCGTGCCAAAGTGCTGCAAGATTGGGTGTTTGGGAGGAGATAACGGTAAAAAGAAGACTTAGTTCAGTTTACCTGTGGTGTGTGGTGGGAGATTTTAATAGCTGAAGTTACGGGAAAGATCAGCGTAATTTTTCCTAACACCCAGAACATGGTTTCATGCATGTGCACCCTAGTTGATAAACTTTAAAACATGTATTTTGGTCCTTCTATTACTTTGTAACGAAAATGGTCATGCTCAAGGCAGATGACCAGATTTGTGCACGTTTCGAACACATGGTTTCCTTCCTTCCTTCATATTAATTTTTTCTCGCTGTTCGAACGATGGAGTGCATCGGTGGTGAAAAAAGTTAACACGAACAATATTAGTAACAAATACTTTTGGTGTTTGGACTGTATGGATGACTTGATGCTGGCTTGGTGAGTTTTGGTGGTGCCTATGGAGTTCGAAATTTCAAGAATATGGAGGATGGCAATCGTTGATGGTTAATGTTTCATGTTTGTGTCAAAATTACAAGTTGTTTGGTGGTCTCATATGGTTTCAACTATAGACATGTGAAAATTTAGGACAATCTAAGAATTTCTTTCTAATCAATATCACGTGTCTATAGTTTTAAATTTTAATTAATGTTTACTTAACACATTTGAATTTTATAATCGACGAAAAAGATTTCATGTCACTTGATTATAAAACGTCAAGCGTAAAGCTATGTGCAAATTCTTTCTCAGATTATAAAATTAAAATGTGTAATGTAAATATTGGTTTGCACTATGCACAGGAAGGTAACCGAAGCTCTGGGAAGTGTTGGCCTAGAGTCTTCCAATGTCATTGCTGGAATTGATTTTACAAAGAGCAATGAATGGACAAGTTTTGCTTTCGTGACTAAAAACCTTCATTTCCTCTCCTTTGTATGTGTTAAAATGCATAATCACGCTTCGCATGTATTCTCCAGCAGAAAACAAAGTATCTCGTTTTTGTTGGTTCCCAACCCATTGAAAACATGGGTTCATCGCTTGAATTTTTTTTTTTTTTATAAAAAAAACGTTGCAAATATAACTATATAAATATAGAGGCCCATGGTCCATTACTTTGTCTCTTTGAAAATTGTTACAAACAATTTAGAACATGAACATGTTTGGTAGGGTGTCGTGATTTTTCACTCTAAAATGAAGTTACAAAATGTAATTTCTCCATTAATGATATAATTTTATTGTTAAACGTGCGTCACCAACACACAACCAAACACACACTGAATAGAAACATATACTTAAGCAATTATAACACCTTTTTTTAAGTATAAATTCAAACTTTGATCCGTCATTAGTTCCTTCTTCTAGACTCAATCACCAAAGATAAAATTAGTAATTTTAGTCCTTACGTTTAACATTTCTCCCTTGACATTGGATGTGTGACGAAATACATGAGCAGATTCAATTTATGGAATTTCATTTTTATGTGAATCAGCAAAGGTGAAAGTAACAGATAATAACATGCCATTAATGCTATATAATCTTGCTTATGAAATCTCCAAATAATTTGTGAAAAAAAAACTACAGTTAAGCGTTGTCACCTCCCTTGTAGAAGGTTGCGAGAGATGCAGAAATTTTGTAACAACAGAGACTTTAGGATATTTGGGGAATCAGTGGCTCTTGTTTTTCAGGGAGTCTTGGAATTCACAGTGAAAGTACCACAAGCTAATTCAAAATATACCCACTAAATAAAAACGAGAATAAAAGGCTTATACAACATAAATTAAACCTTGGTGTTAAAAGTGACATATCACAAACCATAGATTCATAATGAGAAAATAGGTAATAGTGTACAACAGGAGAAAATATGATTGTCCTTTTTCGTTATGTCATCTTCACAATTGTGTCAACCTTTATTCCCCTTCATCAAATCATTTCTAGTGTGTCAATAGAGTCTATGCTAGTTTTATGTTTTATTGTTAAGAAACATGGTTCCTTCCACAGTCCATATTGGAGAGAGGAGAAGCTAGTTTCCTCTTTATAATCTTCATAGCCCTCAAAATTCAGATGTCCATGAAAATTTACCAACTCTGATTGATGTTGTCGACATACCATACCTCATCATAACACTAGGCAAGAGAACATGCAGTGATGAAAAGAACTAGTGGTGGCTATGGCCCACGAAACTACAAAACTTCTGAATTTTCGAATCAGCAATAACTCAGGTGAGTGTGAATGCCTTCGTAGGTTGTTAATACATAACTTGGATCATCCTTATCTCTTTCAACTCTTTTTTTTACTGGGCATCCGTCCACTGAACACTTATAATAGTTCCTGTAATCAGATGCATGTTCTCAAGTTAAATGTTTGAAATATGCGATTACTTTTTTTTTTTCTTAAAAACAAGAGACAAAATAAAAAGTTGTATTTTTTTTAAAAGAATAAATTATTGTACAATCTGAAACTATAAGTCACAAAACTTTCCAATTTATACGACAATTAATAAAATTTGATTATATATCACTTGTAAAGATTAGTTAGGAACATCACAGTCCCAAATTATTCAATAATTTTTCTAATATAGCATAGACATATATACACCTCGGATTGGGGCTGTTTTTCACCATCTTCTTTCCGTACTTCCTCCACTTGAACCCGTCGTCCAGTATTTCTACCTCTGACTTTGTTTTGAATGCAACTCTATCATTGACTTCCTTTTTCTCATGTTCATTACCAACCTCTCCTATGACACACAACCAATTAATATGACATTAAGGTATCAGAAAAGCAAAAGACAAATAAGCTAAAGAATGCAAAATTATGAGAAAGCTTGTATATATGTATATATATATATATATATATATCAGTTGCTCTGGTATATAATTACAAAATAAAATAAATTTCATTTGAGGAACTTGGCTTACTGCTAGAAAACCCCTCGAAGTGGCTGGCCCTAGTTCCTTTAAAGTCACCAACTTCATTGGCTTGATTATCCTGGCTGAGGACATGCCCGAAAACAAATGAATCTGTTGGATCATCATCATCATCAAAATAGAAGTACTCAGAGACTTCCAAAGGCCATTGGTTGGTGAAACCACTGTCAGATGAATCTGGTGGCCTTAGATTTTTATCTGTCATTTTGGCATCATTCGTACAAAAACAAAGGATTATCATCCTGGTGCATATAATATAAACTTCATAGCCTTTGTTAATTGAGGCACCTTCATTGTGACCTTCCTATGAACTACATCAGGAAGTTTCTATGAGTAATACATAACCACAAATTCTTTTATTAGAGTTTAAACCGTTAATTAATAAAAAATTATTTGTGTAATTTTTTTAAATAATATTATTTAAGTCCATAAACTTAACAGAGAATTTGTAATTGCATAACAATCTCACAATATTCTATTTGGTTTTTAATATTGAATGAATTTTATAGGAAATCTATTAGACTCGCTCTCTATTAAATAGGATTGATATCCCGATGAAAATAGTTTATTAAAAAAAGTATGTCGAAAATTATATAATCAACGTTAACATGATCTCTAATAAAATTGCTAAGTATCCAATGACAATGAAAAGTAGTATTTAGCAGTTAGCACAAGTTGAGAGTGGGGCATGCCAGAGATGACTCAGGGAAGACTTTCAAGAGATGTTATAGTCAAGAAAGAGAAAGTACCAGTCTTATATATATATATATATATATATAAAGTTCTTAAAATATGACTTTTATTAGATATTTGATAATTTAAGGACATGAAAAAATATATATTTTAAGTTTCTAGGCGCCATTTTTTATTTTTCACACAGATTCATCTGCAACTTGTTAAATGTTAATTGGCTAAAGAGTGTCGTGGTTAGACCAACCCCTTTACAGCTGGGAATTACTCGTCAATGGTGCTTTGAGGTCTCATGCAATTGAAGTTCCTTCGACCAAAAGTTTTTTGTTATCTCAAATAGATGTTTGAGAAATAAAAACTTTTTTTTAATAAATAATTTGTAATAAATAAAGAAAGCAACTAATTAGTGAAAAATATATTAAGAAAACTGTATATTATTTGCTTAATAATTTATAACTATTCCAACTATACTATTCCATTCCTTAAAGACGGAAGAGAGGAATTGAACAAAATTAATCCTTTCTCATGCTGTTTAGGAAGAGGTTTATCCTTTGATTAGTAAATGGGTTGTAAATATAAAGAATTTAAATGGGTCTCACTATTTGTTTTTGTTATTTTTTAACAAGTAAAAAAATAACAAGTTTTTTTTTCTAAAAATTTATCTAACATTTAGGCGTTTTATTCATTTTCGTATATTTCTATCTCTTTTTATAATTAAACTATTATTTTAAAAAGAAATATTTTTCCAATCAAATGATGATACTAAAATGAGTCAAAAGCTATTCACGTTTGGGGAAAATTATGTTTTTATCCTTTTCTTTTCTTTTCCTTCCATGCAAGTCGAAGGTAAAATTTTAAAAAAAAATATTATATTCGTGTATTGGGAAAGGGAAAGGAGGAACGATACGTGTGTGAAGAGTTTTACGCTTCAGGAGTAATAACCCTAACATCCGTGATTTAATTGATATCACTTTTAAAATAATTAAGTATAAAATCCGTTTTTGATAGAAATCATTGTCACGTGTATTTGATGAAAACACTTTCATACTAGTAAGTAGTAAGTGTTGCTAATCAAAGTGAAAATTTTAAGGCTGATGATATATACTTCCATTTTTTTATACATACACCCTCTTTTTTTAAAAAAAAAATATTAAATTCCTAAATTATCTTTAATATTATTTAGAATAAAAAAAAATTATTCTGGAAAGTTTTTTTTTTTAGGTATATTTGTACATAATTATAGAAAGTACTTTTCGGAATACTAACATTACTATTCCAAAAAGAACTTTTTGCCAGAATAATTTCGGAAAATACTTTCCGGAATACTAAAATTACTATTCCGGAAATAACTTTCCGTCGGAATAATTCTGGAAAGTACTTTCCGTAACACTAAAATTACTATTGCGGAAAATTCTTTCCGGATATATATATATATATATATATATAAAGTTCTTAAAATATGACTTTTATTAGATATTTGATAATTTAAGGACATGAAAAAATATATATTTTAAGTTTCTAGGCGCCATTTTTTATTTTTCACACAGATTCATCTGCAACTTGTTAAATGTTAATTGGCTAAAGAGTGTCGTGGTTAGACCAACCCCTTTACAGCTGGGAATTACTCGTCAATGGTGCTTTGAGGTCTCATGCAATTGAAGTTCCTTCGACCAAAAGTTTTTTGTTATCTCAAATAGATGTTTGAGAAATAAAAACTTTTTTTTAATAAATAATTTGTAATAAATAAAGAAAGCAACTAATTAGTGAAAAATATATTAAGAAAACTGTATATTATTTGCTTAATAATTTATAACTATTCCAACTATACTATTCCATTCCTTAAAGACGGAAGAGAGGAATTGAACAAAATTAATCCTTTCTCATGCTGTTTAGGAAGAGGTTTATCCTTTGATTAGTAAATGGGTTGTAAATATAAAGAATTTAAATGGGTCTCACTATTTGTTTTTGTTATTTTTTAACAAGTAAAAAAATAACAAGTTTTTTTTTCTAAAAATTTATCTAACATTTAGGCGTTTTATTCATTTTCGTATATTTCTATCTCTTTTTATAATTAAACTATTATTTTAAAAAGAAATATTTTTCCAATCAAATGATGATACTAAAATGAGTCAAAAGCTATTCACGTTTGGGGAAAATTATGTTTTTATCCTTTTCTTTTCTTTTCCTTCCATGCAAGTCGAAGGTAAAATTTTAAAAAAAAATATTATATTCGTGTATTGGGAAAGGGAAAGGAGGAACGATACGTGTGTGAAGAGTTTTACGCTTCAGGAGTAATAACCCTAACATCCGTGATTTAATTGATATCACTTTTAAAATAATTAAGTATAAAATCCGTTTTTGATAGAAATCATTGTCACGTGTATTTGATGAAAACACTTTCATACTAGTAAGTAGTAAGTGTTGCTAATCAAAGTGAAAATTTTAAGGCTGATGATATATACTTCCATTTTTTTATACATACACCCTCTTTTTTTAAAAAAAAAATATTAAATTCCTAAATTATCTTTAATATTATTTAGAATAAAAAAAAATTATTCTGGAAAGTTTTTTTTTTTAGGTATATTTGTACATAATTATAGAAAGTACTTTTCGGAATACTAACATTACTATTCCAAAAAGAACTTTTTGCCAGAATAATTTCGGAAAATACTTTCCGGAATACTAAAATTACTATTCCGGAAATAACTTTCCGTCGGAATAATTCTGGAAAGTACTTTCCGTAACACTAAAATTACTATTGCGGAAAATTCTTTCCGGAATTATGGTAACAAATACATACACGGTTAATATTCCGGAAAGAATTTTCTACAATAGTAATTCTAGTGTTACGGAAAGTATTGTTCATAATTATTTCGACGAAAAGTTATTTTCGGAATAGTAATTTTAGTATTCCGGAAAGTACTTTCCGTAATTATTTTGACGGAAAGTTCTTTTCGGAAGACTCATGATATATACACCTCCTATTTTTTTATAAGTACATCTTCTTTATTTTTTTTAAAAAATTTATAAAATATTATATATATTTTTTTTAATTTTATACCTTTAACTTTCAATTTTCTACTTTTTTATTTTTTTTCACACTTTTTTTTTCTTCAATTTTTACATGCTACCAAAATAGGTGGGGTGAAGGAAAGATAATGTGGTGCATGTAAAAATTGAAAGAAAAAAAAAAAGATCTGTAAAAAAAAGTACTAAATTAAATGTTGTGAATGTAAAATTAAAAAAAAAGCAAAAAATTAAGAATATTTTAAAATTTTAATTATTTTTTTTGAAAAGGAGATGTACTTATAGGAAAAAGGAGGTGTATATATCATTAACTTTTAAAAAACACTTTCTAGAATAATTTTTTTTTATTCTAAATAATATTAAGGATAATTTAAGAATTTAATATTTTTAAAAAAAAAAGGGGTGTATGTATAAAAAAATGGAGGTGTATATATCATCAACCAAATTTTAATATGTACTGGGCCCATAACTACGGGCCAGGCCCATTGGACCGGACTTGTGATTGCTGAACGGAAATCGACTGCAAAGACGACACTAATATAGTTGTCGTTTCAGAGGGAAAAAAAAAAAAAAAAAAAAAAAGACTAAATGAAGAAGGCGAGCGTACAAGTGCAAAGTGCAAAGTGCAAAGTGCAAAGACAGAAAACAAGACCCCTTAACTAAAGCCAGTAAATGAAGAAGGCGAAGAAGAGTGGCGAAGATAATGGGGGAAAATTGAGGGGCGCGGAGAGGTCAGCGTACTTCGCACGGCGAGAGACAGCGAAGGTGTTGAGAGTGGTTCTGGAGGGAGACGCCAAGCGCCGCGCCCTTGCCTCCATCAAATCCCTCGTCTATCAACCTTCCATTCGAAACAAGAAGGCCACCTTCGCTCTCCTCTGTCAAACCCTCAAACATCTTCCCATCATCAAGGATGTCCTCCAAGCTGCTTCCATTCTCAACACCAAGTGGAAGGTAATCCCATTAACTTTATAACTCTCATTCATCCTCGCTTCACGTATTTCGTAACACCCTTGATTTTGCAGAGGCAGCCAGAATTGATTTATATCATTGTCTATGATATCCTTTTCGGCCAGGTGACCTTGTTTTCTGTTGTTCTACCGTGTTAGCTCTTCTCCCACTTCCGTAATTTCAATTATGTTACTCCACGCTTTTAAGCTTGTTCGGACATTCTGTGGCTATTATCTGGTAACGTTGAGTCGCTATATTTTCAGGCGGTTTCACTTGTTGGTGATGCAGAGAAGTTCCTTATGCGCCACCAAGATGCCCTGCGTTCAACTCTCAAACAGCTTTTGTTGCAGAGAAATGTCAAGACAGTTAAACAGTTGATTGATCTGCATCATGGTCCTGGTCAGTTGCATTCCCTTTTTGATATATTTCATTACGGCAATGTTCTCATTTCGAAGTTCTTTTGGACCTAAACGATAGAACTGAATGATGCATAGACAAGCAAATCTGTTATGAATTTTCAGGATACTCCTTTTGTTAACCGTTCCATTTTAGGAGACTCCTCATTTGGAATGGGTAGGTAGATTACTCAAGAATTTGATATTTCAATTTTTTTGTCCTAATTTAGAATTGGATAAATAATTAAGAAAATCTAATAAGTAAAAAAGAAAGTGTCAATGTAGTAAAGACTAAAGCTTTGTATTTCAGAGTAGAGGTTTTAAAGAATTTGCTGCTTCAAAAATGATTATTTTGAAATTTGTTACATTTCTTTATGGATGCTCCTTTTGAAGCTATTTATCATTGTTCACGAGAGTTGTTGATATGCTCTATTGTGATAATGACATGAAGTTGTTCAAACTTTTCTTATACAGATGTTTCTGTACCTCGATATGTTCGTGTCAATACACTTAAACTGGATGTTGATTCTGCCTTTCTTGAACTTAAGAAACAATACTCGGTATTTTTCTGATCATCAAGAACCTATATTGTTCCCTTTTCTCTTTTCCTTCTGGAAAGTATCTAAATGAATTCATAAAAGAGTAATAGTCTGAACTTCCTCCATTTAAACTATTGCTCTACATTTTGGTTGATAAGGATTATTTATTTCATGTCAAATAGGTTCAAAAGGATAATTTACTGCCTGACTTGCTGATACTCCCTCCAGGCACTGATTTGCATGATCATCCTCTTGTCAAGAATGGAAGTATCTTTATGCAAGTAGGAATTACCCCTCCTTTCCTTTATATATATATACACACACATATATATATATATATATGTATTTTTTCTTTTCTTTTCGAAGACATAAGTAGTTATGGATTCATATTATAATCTCTGGTTGAAAAAGTGAATATCTTTTGCTATTTGAGAAATATAGTGACATATGGCTATTCTGAATGCTGCTTGTTTATTCTTGGTAATCTTTTTGCTAATAATGGGACAAATTTATGTTAAGGGTAAGGCAAGTTCTATGGCAGCACCAGCCCTTAGCCCTGAACCAGGATGGGAGGGGAGTTATTTCTGCCTTATTATATAAAGATATTTCGCTTAAGATATAGATTTGATTCAATCATAGCTACTCTCTACTTTACTTCATTACCGTTGTAAGCGTCGTTTTTTTAATTTATTTTTGAACCTAA